GACCACCCTTGTCTGCAAGCTGCACAAGGACTGCAGGGACTTAAAAGCCTTTAGAGGGCCCTATAAGTCATAGACCATCTGTAAGTAAACATGGTCCAGGGCTTTGCAGTGTCCCTATGCAATGTCCACTGTCATTTAAAGCCTTAAAAGCCTAAATATTTACCCAGGTACAAGCTCACAGAAAAAGCATTAGCCTATTGCACTCTCAGTTACTGGGCAACCCTCAATAGCACTTAATTATTTAGTACTTTCCATGGTTACCTCTCTGATGGTGAAATCTTCAGAGAATGAGCTCATTAGGCTGAGCATTTCAGACACCATTGCTGCATTTGTGGGTGATAGCAGCCCACAGACCACTCTCCATCACACCTTTGTAGTCCTGCAAACCTCTTCTTGGTTCATATAACAAAAAAAACCCAAAAAAATCCCAAACAAACAAACAAAAAATAAATAAATTGAAGGGTTGTAGGTTTTTTTGCCTGTACAACCTGTATCCCCACAGATGACTGATGTGATCCCTGCTGCTCTGTGCGTGGGCAGCACAGCCCTGGCTCCTGGTGTGTATTTTTTATGTCCCCATATTCCAATCCCAGCTGACATCTCTAGTGTAACATCACCAGTGGTGGTTGCCCAGTGCTGGCAGCAGCACTGGCAGGGCAGGGACTAAACTGCCTGCCTGGAGGGACAGCTGGAGGTCATCCACTGAGTCAAGGGAGGAGAAGCACCTTCCTCCATCTGGTCAAAGAGCACCAGGAGGCAGGTCCTGACTCCTGGTCCCCAGAACAGGGATGCTCTTGTTGCTTCAGTGCTGATCCCAGGAGCCTGCTCAGAGTATTTCCCATCTCTTTTCTACCAGGGGTGCATGCTGTGCCACAGACACCCACGAGTCTGAGTCACTTGCTGGCAAGTGTTTCTAGGTCTAAGCTTCAATGCTTTGCTCCACAAATAAGGTCACTGCCTTAGTCACAGTGCTCTTTGGTCTTAAAGTATTTGGGGCTCTCTCGTGCATCACACAGGGAGCCACGTCCCAGCCGAGGGCTGTCCCTGCCCATCCCACCTGAAGGCTCCAGAGGTTGTGTAAAAGCAGAACAGACATCCTTGAAGCTCCTACCAGCTCATGTCCCATCAGGCCTAGACATGATAAAGTCATTCAGCACCTCAAACTTCCTAAAATTTGCTTCTGGGTGTGCCCGCAGCTGCCTGAGCTGTGAAATGCTGGGCAAAGGGGATTCATGTGCTGGCCTGGCTGGGCTGCCCAGTGTGAGCACCACCTGCCCTGTGCCCCACTCCAACACCCCAGAGACCTCCCCAGGGCAGCTAGGGGGGCAAGCAGCCACCCCATCTCTCCTTTGCAGCTCACAAGGCAGGGGCATGGGGCACACAAGTTTTACTGCTGGAAGTCCTACCTTCAACTCCTTCCCTTGCCCATGGAAACATGAATCCTCATCTCAGGTGAATGCTTTGATTAATGGCCTAAGGGTTATTGAGAACCTGAGCTTTCTGGAACAGGTCTTTGCAGCTGTAGTTTCCTGTCATCTGGAAAAATGCAAATATGATTTTGTTTGTATGTTTGTTTGTTTGTTTTTTAAATCCTCACCACCTCTCCCCAACCCTAAGCCCTTTACCAGGCTCCCGTGCAGTTCTCAGGTGGCACTGGAGGGTCCAGCTCCATGCTGGGCTGGGGTCTGCACCACCCACACCACTGGAGCCAACAGCTTCCAAAGATATTTGCATGAGCCATTTTCACTTTGCTCATAAGCCTTGCCTTAACACACGCTGCTCCTGCTTTGTGTCACCCCTCAGGCACTGCCAGTACCACAGCAGGACATAGAATCATAGAATCCTTT